AAAAAAGATCTAACATCGATGATTCTTCCTGTTGCAAGTTGGGGCTGTAAGCTTTTGAGGTACAAAAGTATGTCTTACAATGAAAGTAACACTTGTTTAGCTAGTGAATATGACAAAATGTATATAGAGTATAACTTTAACTTTGGAATGATGTTATTAATGGCAAAACAAATGCAGTGTGTTAAAGCTAAACACTACACTGAGACTCAATGCTGGTAAAATAACTGGGCTCGATTTAGATCATGTGGAAGCTGAGAAATAAATGTATATAAAAATGTAGTAGATGATATTAAGTCCAATTTTTAAACTATGATTCTGTGACTTGTAATGAATCAAGCTGTACAATTTACTTTATGATAGCAGCATCTGAGCTGCTCCAAAATGTCTATCAACAGTGGTAAATACTGTAGATTTATATATATGCACAAAATGGTATACACACACACACACACACGCACACACATACTATTTTCTTATGTCACCCGTGACAGTTTCTACCTGTGTGCTTTTTTATGTGACTTTTTTAACATGCTGAAAGTAATATTTTGTTTTGTCTTTTGTGTGCATTTGTTTTTAATATGGCAAAATGCTGTATCTCTGATGCTTCTAAGGCTAATTCTCTTTTAATTGAGTAGATGTTGCCTGGTGTTCACCCATAGTGCTTTATATGTGTTTCAATTCTGTGTTGTATGTTGTATTCATTTGCAGTAAGATTGTATTTAGAACTACATTACCTTTTCTTTATTTAATGAAATTACTAATGGCAATAAGGTTTTATTTTCATTTTAAAATGTACCTGTTTTTTAAGTGGGAAAATTTAATTTGAAATTTTGCCGCCAGTTTTCCTCTTTCAAATTTATTTTTTAATAAAAGATAATGAAGTAATGGTAAAAGTGAAGTAATATTGGCAAAGTAGGTCAAAATGTATTTATATAAAACATATTTTGTAAGGGTGATTTTACTCAGTAACTGCATGCACATAGTGTGTTTTCCATTGATTCTTTTCTTCCTGAAAGATTTGCCCAACATAATAAGCATTTTGGAATGTGTTTTATTTTTATGTGTCTTTTTAAAATTCTTAGTTTAAGTTAAACTAGACCCAAGTTCTCAAAAGCTTTGACTCTTTTGGGTGTTTATTTTTAAAGGATTTAAAAAAAATAACTTCTTAAATCTGAGATATAGATAGATAGATAGATAGATAGATAGATCAATGATAGATTCCGTGAAGGAATGAGAAGAGATTCATCAGTAGGACATTTCTGGAGAAGAAAAGCATTTTATAAAATGTAATTTTTTTTCCATTTTAAGACAATTCTCATGTCATACTCAGCTTCACTTTTGTACTTATAGTCATCTAAGACTTTAGTTTCCAGTGTGATATAAGTACAGAAACAGCCCCCTCTTAGTACTTAGCAGTCAGCAGTTTTCATTTTCATGATTAGAGAAAACAATGCTGTGTCTCCCAAGTGTGGATTTACTCAAAGGACCCACAGCTTCCTCTTCCGAAAATGATGTTATTTTTCTCAGCTCTTGGAATCACACCTCTGTTTCTGTGTGCAGTTGATGGTGGTATGCACCTTAATCTTGCTATGATTAAGATTTGAGGAGTTTTAAATTTTGTTTTCAATTGTGGCTTTCAATGTCTAAATCTACTGTAGATAATAGTGCTTATTGACCAAGTAGAAAGGATCAAACTTTACTTTTAAGATGACCCAAGGTATTGAGAATGGGAAAAAAGGAATACATTTAACATTTTTATACATTTTACATTGAGAAAGATTTTCACTTTATCTGTAAATTTGGTAAAATTGCCACCAGTTTATAGATAAAAAGGCTAAGAAAGGAACTTTTTAGATTTCTTAAGAGTGAATGTTTACATTTGTTGCTCTTTTTCTGGTAAACTTTAAAGGTTTTTTTCTGCTTGGATCCCATTCCAGAGTACTAGTCCTAATATCTGGTATGAAACTTAAGTATAAGATAATTGTGGGGCCGGGGATTTAGCTCAGCGGTTCGGTGGCCTGCCTTGGAAGCGCAAGGACCCGAGTTCAATCCCTGGTACCAAAAAAAAAGGTTAATTGTGTTTTTCGCCATAAAGTTTAATCATTAAGTCCTTTGTTAGCACCCCACCTCCAGTCTTACTATGGTCTAGCTTAAAAATCCAGGTGGCCTGCCTTAAGCGCAAGGACCCGAGTTCAATCCCTGGTACCAAAAAAAAAGGTTAATTGTGTTTTTCGCCATAAAGTTTAATCATTAAGTCCTTTGTTAGCACCCCACCTCCAGTCTTACTATGGTCTAGCTTAAAAATCCCTAACAGATCAAGTTGCAGAGTTTAGAAACTTTTATGTCAGGAAAGCTTGGAAATTTTTCTGGAGAGATTTGATATTGCTATGCACATTTCAAATAGAAGGTAGCATGATCCTGTAACTTTCTTCTATTTGCGGCTTCCAGTAGTTCTTCAAAACAGCTGGGGCCTTACTAAAGTTTTCTGTTTCCTACCCAACTTCTGCCTCTCTCATTTTCTCTCATGTTTAGAAACTTCTCAGCTGTTTTGAAGAGTAAGACATGAGAATTATGCTGAGTACTCTGGTCCTTCATTTGACCAATCATTTTACTGAGCATCTACGGTGTGCTAGGTCCACCCTTAGGTTGTAAGACAGGCTTTATAATATGTCTGTCTTCATTCAGTATTGGAAATACAGAGGCTGTTGCAATGGACAGAGAAAGATCCCAGAAAATGATCCCAGCTCCAGGCTCCGAGAAGGCTTGTGAGTTGCCAGAGAGTATTAGTGTAGTCACGGACATTAGGCAGGGAGAAAGGCATTTCTGTGGAGGGACCAATACTGCAAGAACGATTGCATGCTGTAAGTGGGAAAATTTGCTCCCTTGATAGGTCTGTAAAGAGGGGGGATGTGGGATGAATTCCATAGAGACCAGATTACGGAGGGCCTTAGGAGGACCTGATCCCGAAGTTGGATTTTGCCACAGTTTGTTTCCGTTTCTGCTGTGGTTCCTTGAGGCTGTGGAGAATAGGTGTGAAGGAAGGAGCCAGAGGTGGTTAGGCAGGCCAGACCAGAGGCCATGGTGAGCACAGACCTTAAGGCCGGGGAAGTAGTGAAGAAAAGGTGATTAAGAACTAATTACTGAATGAAATTGGCCAGAGTTGACGAGGTAACCTGAATAATCCTGATAGGAAAAGGAGCTGACACTCAATGGTTATGTCTGTTGCTGTGCTAATTGTTTTACTTGTATTACCTCTAATCCTCACTATAACTTTGTGAGGTGCATACTACCTTAATTCCCAGTTTACCGTTGAGAAAACTAAGGCACAAAGTTTAACATGCCCCTAAGTAATAGCTCAAGGCCTAGAATCTAATTGGAATCACCAGCCTGTTTCCTGCCCTGTCCCTGAACTGATTTACAGGAATACAATTTACCTATTGTAAAACTCACCCATTTTAAGTTTCTACTTAATTTTTTTTTTTTTTGTAATAGTGCAGTCATCTCAACTAATACCAGAACATTGCCATTACCCTAGAAAGATCTTGTTCCATTTGCAGTCACACTCATACCCACTTTTAGCCTCAGGCAACCACGGATCCACTTTCTGTCCTGATTTACCCTTTCTGGACACTTTAAATCTTTATGTAAATGGAACAAAACAATGTATCTTTTGCATTTGACTTCTTAGCATTCTTTCGCATGTGTCTCTAATTCCTTTTGTTTACTGTCTAGTATCCTATTGGATGGCTATACCACATTGTGTTATCCATTCACTAGCTGATACATAAATTGTTTTCACGTGCTCTTGTGCCATTTGTGTACAAATGTTTGTGTGGACACGTGTTCAACACTCCCAACTTTTCCAAAGTATCTGTAGCATCCCCCCTTCCAATCCATAATGGAGAGGGCTCTGGCTTTCCACATCTGTGCTAACACTTGTGATTATCTGATTTTAAAAATTATTATGGCTGTCTAGTGGATGTGACTTCAGTTTGTATTTCCCCAGTAGCTAATGATGATCAGCATTTTTTCATATGTTTGTGGGCCAGTTGTATTTTCTCTTTAGTGAAATGTCTATTTACATTTTTGTTCTTTTTAATCTGCTGTTTTATTTTTATTAATTGAATAGAGTTGTTAATATATTCTAGATACAAGTCCTTTATAAGAAATGATTTGTAAATAATTTCTCCCACCGTGACTTGTCTATAATTTTCTTAATGGTGTGTCTTGAAATGCAAACATTTTTTATTTTAATGAAGTCTAATTTATTAGTTTTTCTTGTATGGATTGTCTTTTTAGTACTGTATTTCCTGCCCAACTTAAGGTCACAAAGAATTTTTTTCTCCTGTTTCATTCTGAAAGTTTTATAATTTTAGCTCTTAAATGTGGGGATATGAGCCATTTTGAATTCATTTTTATATATAGGGT